GTAGCGGTTCTCCATGCGTGCCAGATCCGCCGTCCTCTCGTGGTATGCAGAGTAGATGTAGCCGTTCTCTGGGGCCTTGTGCTTGACCAGGAGCTTCTTCCACCTCTTGTGGGTGTTCCTGAAGACGCGGAGGGGTGCCCCGTTTGTGACAAGATCCGATTTTAATCTCAAAGTGAACCGGGCATCAATAACTTCAAGCAATGGCTCCACCAATGATAAAGAGACGGAAAGGCAAGAGCGATCCAGAAGAAGAGGATATGTTAGTGCCCCTTTAGCTGCCTTCCTTTTCTTTGGTGAGGTGTTCCGACCTTGAAACCAGCGCAACTGTTGCCGTATGATTCGTCTATTCAACAATTGCCGGTTTTCGATGTGACCTATACCACACTAGGTGTCCTGTGTTTATCAGAACACTGACAACGAAGTCCAGAAGAAGTCGTAAAGACAAAGGACGGCTCCCAAGATCTAAGAGCTTCAGCGTTCCTAGACAACGGTGAAGATAACTCAAAGATGCCTGGTTAAGAAGAGAAACTCACTTGACCTTGACGATATCGCCTGTGTTCATGTAGAGCATATGCAATTGGTGAATCACAGTGTCCATCAGCGCAAGAGTAACTCCCGGCACTTCCAGAGCCTCCAGATAGTACTCTTCCGCCTTTTTTAACCTTCTCTGCTTCTTAGAGAGGAGGCCCAGGTATTGCAGCAGGATGCCCTCATTGCACCGCTTCCCGTAAACTCGCGCCAGCGCTTTCTTGCCCGCGGAATTCCGTGCCACCTGGAGGGCGCCCTTGTACAAAGTCTTTGCGTAGGCAAGGTTACCGACCATCTCGAGTTGGGAACCGTACTCCCTTCCTGTTGCAAGCGCCAAAAAAGACGTCGTGGGATTGACTTTATCGTGGTTTTGAAGGGCACATTTAGAAAGATGGATGTGGAGTCTGGGTCTCCTCCAAACATAGCCTGCACCAACCGTGTGTGGCGGCGTGATTGAAGAAAGACGTACTTCTTGCGTCGGCGGTTTAAGCCACCAAGCAACGTTGACTAGAAGTTGCAGGAAAGTTGCTAGAGAAGACTAGTCACCAGACGCTCCAAATGGTACATCCATCATAGCCCAGATTGTAGCATCTGCCAACACTGGCCCCCAGCCGCTCATAAGAAGAGGAGACTGGTGGTGCAAATCACAAAAGGTTGGTTGGCCCTCTGATCTCAAGTGCCGTGCCTAAGAAAGGCGCTGCTGTTGGAGAATTTGTCGGAAACTAATTGCATAAATACACCCGTAGCACCAGGGGGGATCGCGGATGAACACTATTCACAGCCTTCTCGAACACCTTCAAATGGTTCAAGCATTACGTACTATCAGTCAGAACGTCTACGGAAGCCTCACCTAGTACAAAGACGTCAAGACATCGGGCCTCGTTCTCGAATTTCTTGCCCTCCAACTCCTTCAGCAAGCCCTGGAACTTGCTCAAAACAGCCTCGTGTGTCGTAGGGTAGGGCCTCCCCAGCGGCAGCATAACAAGAACGTCCTGCGATAGGCCGGACCTTTCCTTCTGCCCAACCGCTTCTCTGAAACAGAACATTAGAAAACTGTTCAAGAAAGTTTCTGCCAAGAAGACAGATCAAGCTAGGGAGTCAGAATGAAGAGTGTCTGGTTTTTTCAGTATCATGTACAGAAACTTGGCGTCCGCCACTGCCACTATCAATTGCGCATGTTGCCCTTCTGAAGGACATGACAACTGATTGGCTGAGTCTTGCTGTCATTGCCCTGCCATGTTGGCGCATACTGGAATCAGCCTAGACAACCAGCTGAAATTGAGGCTGAAGCACGTTTACAAGTCATTGCATTCAGAATTATTGGTGGTCACCATCCCAGCAAGCACCACAATTTTCAAAACTTCATTCCCAAATGATGTTGCTGGTATCCTGCATCATTAGTAGCACGATTTCTATTCCAGCTCCATGAGAGTTGCCACATTGCATTTTCAAATGGTAGCCCCACCGGTGTTCCTTGAGCAGCTTCCGCAGCGTCTCCTCGCTGGCACCTCCATCAAACTCGGCCCGTCATTCTCCAACTCGCACTTGAGCTGGAAGAGCGCCGCCATTGCTTCAAAGCTTCAGTGCTACAAATTACTCAATATGATTTCTTTTCAGAGCTGCGCAAAGCTGTGCCGTTAGGTTGTCAGCACTGCTTCATTAGGGGCCACTAGGGCTGCATCTGGGCCACCACCACCATGTCCTCTGCTTCAGCGCCCTTCTGCCTACCTCAAAATGGCTTCAGAGAGCTGCCTCAAGCTGGAGCCCTGGGTTCTGGGGCCAGGAATTGGCGGTGTGTAAAGGCTCGCGCCCCTGAGCTAGTTATACGCGCGCTGCTTTTCCACGCGCGTGCCCCTACCAAAATTTAGTCAACCAACGGTTGTCGCTTGTACTAATATTAGTACAGCAACAAACAATTGCAACTTTCTATGACGGGTCGTTTCGAAAGCGCGCCGTCGATTTAGCACTAAGCTACCTTGGTGGACCTTGTGGGACGAGACTTATCAACGGGGTGGGGTCCTTGACACAATACTCAGGGTGTCAGGGACACATTGATTAACCTGATGTCCGGCATACCTGATCCAGCAGGCGTGCCTCTTGTACAAGTAGACTGTAGCAGCTAGGAGGGATACCTACAAAGTTACTGTACCATGCAATGAAGAAGAGATCTTACATCCATCCTCCCTGAAGGCTGAAAGACTCCTGATTTCTGAATTGAAGTCTAGCTGCTGGCATCAGTGTAAAATTAGAACCATGCAACTCGTGCCAGTGAATCTGTGCTCGCCCTGCAATTCTGGATGATCAGCTGGAAGTGCATGTGGGGAGCTCTCGCTCATCATCTGCCGAGTAGCACATCTGTGCAGCTGCCTAAGAACAGCTGGGTTGCCTTTTGCCACCCCTGCACCTAGCGTTTCCTTCTGGGGGTCCAAAGTGCAGTTGTGACACTGCCGCTGCGTAAATCCGACACGGACAGTAGAGCTGCAAGACGTGGAAAATATGATTGGCGCAATGGCTACATCTGTGACTTTAGCTCAGAGAGAAGCGGCTCTTCTGTAAGTACTTGGCAAGCCTGCCTCAAGTCTCGTCTCACCTTCAAGAAGCACATTAGTTTTCCAATCCTCTTTGCAGCTAGCTTCGTGTCATGCCCAATGCTCGTTGCGTATCAAGTTTTGTGTTTGTCCAGATTGCCTGTTGCAAGCAATTCAGGAGCTCAATAACCTTCATGTTGTCATCAGCTCTTCTCGAAGACAATCAACATAACCACCACATTCGACCCTCTGTGGCAAACTCGGAATGTCAAGCTCTTATGTCCTTTTGCAGGAGAAGAAACGAAGAGCTGGAAAGCAAGACGGCAGAGGCCTTCGCACAAGCTGAAAGCACTCTGGTGAGGATCTTGTCAACTTTGTCACATTCAAAATTTCCACGGCTGTGGATGCTTGACTTGTTTGAGACAATGATTGTGCATGGCATTGGACTGCGCCCCTTCAAAGTTTAGCAATAATGGAAAGGTCCATTCTGTGCAGAGGTTTCTGAGTTGTGACCTGCACTACTGTCAATGCCCACAATCAGTGGTATCGCAAACTCACTTCTTACTGCCCGTGCAGAAGGATCATCACAAGAGGCTTGCCCGGAGCATTGACCTAAGTACAGTTACCTCATCTCAAGATAGGTGAGAAACTTCTTTGCTTTTGTGATGATCCCTCTTCGTGGTGTTTCTGAAGATTCGTGTGTGTCACAGCATAGCTATTACATGAAATATCATTTGTTCTCTGCCTTTGAATGTAGGGAAGTAACTCTCTAGATAGCGCAATTTCAAAAAAGCATTCTCGAAATTTCCACGAGCTAGATTGCAGCTGCTCGTGGCTTTGCTGGCTTCATGGTAAAGCCAGGGAAGGGTGGTTGTAAGAAAGCTGTGATATGCAGTAACAATGTTGAGATTTGCTGTTATAGTGCTGTATATAATGCTGTAACATGACTGTCCGCTGCTCTTCTTTGCAGATTGTCAGGTCGCTCATCTCCAAGTGGAACAGAGGATGCTGAAGCGTCTCCTGTTCCAATCACTGCGAGCCAGCACTACGGGTCTGGCACAAGAAAAAGCAGCACCACCGCTCGTCCCGCTAGGGTCCAGTCTGCGCGCCGGCAGAGCTCAAAAGGGGAGCCTCCAAGCGAATCCAAACCGTGAGTTCGAATCGAGGTCCAACAAACGACCTTTTGAGATTGTTGACAGGGCCCTTGATCCAAGAAACAAAAGAGGGTTTCCCAAAACACACATGTGGTTCTGGCCGGAACAATCTAGACCAGTCTACCCCAAACCTATTCCAATTGAAACGTCGAGATCGCAACAGCGTCGGATAGATGAGACGTCCTGACTTTCTTGTCACGGCTGAGGTGTGCATCGTCCAGGAGAAGCGTTCTGACGTGCAAATTCGAGGCAAACTGCAAAACATGAGGGGATGTGAAGCTGAAATTGTCTTATCGTGCCAGGTCGACCAGCAGGCGAGTCTCGGCAGCAGACAAAGGACCCGCTCTAGTTGCATCCATTAGGTCAGCCTACGTCACCAACCATCCTCGCCTATAGACTCTGGGGTGCAGAATCATGTTTTGCAAAAAGTAGTGAAATTCGCTCGCAGTCCCTTGTGTGGCTGCCACTAACGGGTTGGTGCACGCATGTTGGTAAACAAGAGCAGACGAGTTGTGGTCAAGTATCAATCTGCTCGCAACATTGACTAGTTTTCAACAGTCGAATGGGTGCTGTCACTTTGCCAGAGTACAAGACCAGCGGAATGGCCGTGAAGGTCCTCTGATACCGCCCTTTCGTTCCAAGAGCTGCTAAGGCGATTATGAGCCCTGCAATTTGTGACTGGTCCACAACCGCATTCCAATCGCTGTTCCCCTTGTAGCACTCCGCGGGATGACGTCAGCTCGAGCCTCGAGGCGGACCTCCCTCTGGAAGCGGAGCGGCGGCTGCTGAAAGCGCGTGCTCAAGCACTCGAGGAGGAGTTGCGCGAGGCGCACGACGAGATAGGCGAGAAGGTGCGTCTGCTATACGGCTTTCATCCGGCCAGTCGCTTCGACATAGTCAGCCTGGAGCCTCTTCTTTGGAACAAGATGGTCAACTAGTGATGGCAATAGTCTGCGACGATTCTCCGAATTACATGGTGGTAGAGAAGAGAAAACAGTCTGGTTACTTTATAAATGACCATAGCGGCTCGACGTTCACCTTCTCCAGTACCTCGACACAGTCAAAAGAAAAGCAAAGACTTGCAGACCTCGCTTCTGGTTTACCGCACGCGTGACCGGCGACGCCATGAGAGGGCTCATCTAATTTGTAGCATAATCTTTGCTGACCTCCCACAAGCATCTTCAAGTGCGCAATCCCGCCGACGAGCCCCTTGAGAATTTGGGCACGTTCTTTCTGTCGAGAGAGAGCATAAGATCTTACAACAACTGATTCAACCGCTCGACGAGTATCAGGACACTCCTTACCACCCGATGCACTTCCAACCGTTCATTGTCAAAGACATCAATGCAGGTCTGACCTTTCGATGCGTTCCTTCGCCCTCTCAGGACCTTTCAAAATTCGATCCAACAGCTCGACGAGTATCAGGACAACTTTAACTATCGGATAGCACCGCTTCGGCCAACCGTTCATTATTAAACACATCAGTATAGATCTGACCGTTAAATGCATTCGTTTGCCCTCAGGACCGTAAGATCTTGTCCTTGGAGCGCGAGCTTAAGGAAGTGCTCTCGGAGCGAGCGGCGTCCCAGAAGCAGGCCAAGGCGGGGGACCTCCAGGCGGAGAAGCTGCGGCGGACCGTCGACGATCTGCACGCGAAACTAGAGGCGCGGGACCGTCAGATCGCCGAGCTCAGCAAAGTGAGCTTTTGGGAGATTGAGATCTTTTGATCGGTTCCACCTTTTGCAAGGACTTTACACGAGTTTGGTTGCGGCAGCGGACCGTCGACGACCTACTCAAAGGAACTAGAAGCTAAAAGCATATTGATTTGAAAATGGAAGACAAGACGGCCGGGGACCAATTTCACTTGATTAGCATATCAATTGAGGTCTGTTCTTGGATCTTGCATCTCAGTTTTGAAGGCGGTGAGAATCAGCAGCAGAAACAGCGGTCGAGGCGACCTGGGCTTTGGGATGGTTGTCCAAGCCAGAAAGACGTGGCAGCTGGAGCTGTCACAGTTTATTTACATTTTTCCTCATGAGACACGTGCTGTATTCAGTATACGTAGTTCCGAGTACCTATTTTTCCTTGTTTTTTAACGACTGAAAGATGCTCTGAAAGGAAACGCTTGCTTTTCTGATGCTAAGCCAGTCAGATAGGTCAACAAGTTCCTGATGGTCTCCTGATCATTTCAGGAGTTGGATCGCGTGAGCCGGGGCAATCAAAAGACGGAAGCGGAGGTACGGGCTCGGGAAGTCAGGTAAGGGGTAAGCTTTCTTCCAATGAACACTTTTCACTGGGCGTGTTTTGGATATGGTGAAAACTGAAGCCCTCGCCTACTCCCTGTTGCCAAGCCAGGGGGAAGGCTCCAGATATTTAGACTCACCGGGCATTCTTTAGTGGTCCAAAGTGACCGAGGTTAACACTACAAAGTGGGCGTAGGCGTCACGCCGGCGGCATGGCCGAAGCGTGACGACGGCCGAAGTTAGGCAAGCGAGCATCGTCCGACAGATTCAACTCGTGCTTTTCTGCCGTCCGATTTGAAATGCACTCGCGAGTGCATACGCCCACTTTAAGAGGCTGTGTTTGGTGGATACTGCAGCATTTAAGCGGCTTCTTTGGAAGGTCGACGCGTAAAGCAAGCTTCCCCCTCGACCAAGTCCTCGTAAGCACGGGTTGCCAACATGGCTTACCGCTGTGATTTTGCGTCTTGCCAACGTGCATTAAGTATGCTGTCACTCTTTGCGGCGGTTCCTGATCTACTGCACGATTTTGGACGGCCGATTATATCACTTCTTGCGAGTCTTGTTCTCGATTAAGCCAGAATAGAAGTGTGCTCATTGCAAATAGCCATTCATCTTCTTGTTGCCAGGCTAAATAGGGCCCTCGAAGAGGTCGAGAAGTACAAGCGGGCTCTCCAGGAGAACAGGAGCAATGAAAAGGAGGGGACCGACGTGGCTAGAAAGGTAAGAAAATGTTCACACCTCGTATCCGCCAACGTCGCGTGGCGTACTACAATCAAGCAACCTTCGCAAATGTGCGCATATCAAACGTGGCGCGTTCTGAGATCAGGACTCTGATCCCCTTCGAGTGCATATGACATGTTGGACTTGATGCAAGGACCCTATCTCGCTGCGCCTCTCACTTACCGCTAAAATCCTCAACCTGACCGGTCGAAACATGCTTTCTGATCTCTCTTTTGTCTTCATCCGGCGCAGGACTTTGATAAGGCCGTCATGGAGAAGAAAAAGTTGGAGAGGCAGAAGGCTGAACTGATCGCAGCGTTTAAGAAGCAGCTCAAGCTTATCGATGTTTTGAAGCGTCAAAAGATCCATCTGGAAGCCGCGAGGATGCTTACGTTCACAGAGGAGGAGTTCATGAGAACGATTGACGTTGACAGCCGGTGACATATGTATGTGCTGATTGGACTTTGCGCGCAAGCAAGTGTGCAAAGTCATTCGTAATCGAGAGCGCAGAATGAGATCTGACAAAGCAAGTTCTCAAGGTTTCCCGGTGCAAAGTTTCTGTCATCCAACCGCTAAGCTTCGACGTAACGCGGCACGCTGGGAGTGCAGCCCGAAGGAAATATGCACAAAGGTGTGGCCAGGAATGCAAATCGATAGCTTAGCAGCGGCAATCGAGGCCCACATCTGAATATAGTATGTACGTGACTCACATGGCCGGCGAGCTTATCATGCGTTCATGTTTAAGATCGGTTGATCAGTCGGTCATGGAATTCTCCGGTATGTGCGCGTGCCAGTAAACTAGATGTGCACATGATCCAATTGCATGCAACGCATGTGCAGATCGAGTCGTCAAAACTGCATGCGCGAGGATCCGAGTCCACGGAGTACGTGATTCTTTGAGCACGTACTTTCGTTAGTTCGCGGGGCCGTTTGCGCACAGGCTGGAATATGCAGTTGCTGCGGGCACGTACGCATGGTGGATGTCGTGAAGCTATCGAGCTAAGATTTGCGGGCGGCACCCAAGGGCTGTTGGCATGCAGATTTATGCAAAGATGCTGAACAGCTGCACCCGAAGTATATATGTGCAAACGCTTGATTGCCATTATTTATGAATTGCTTAGGACGGTGAGTGAGAGAGATAATATATGCAGCAAGCAAGTCCTAGTACCCCTGGCTTAGTACGCAGCCGGCCTGATCAGTGTCTTCGCCGCTGGAGCTCGGGTTACTTGCATGGATACGCGAGCAACTTGTTGGACCGCTTAAATTAGGTAGAATCTAAGAGATGCCAAAAATGTAAGTGATTGATTTAGACTTGCATCTGGCTGCTGGCAATCTCCAGGAGGGGCATCGATAGCTGTCATCGGGTTCATCTTCATGTATCCATGTGTTAGCAACTTAAATCCTCGCGCGTGCTCCATTTGCAGTTAGGAAAAAGAGGTTCTGTCCCCTCCTCAAACGGAGGTTCTACCAGCGTGCTTGCTATTGATTAGTTCCCAGTACGGGCTCCCGGCTGGGGGGCTCAAGCTGCGCCTCCCACGTGTGCCAGCGGTATCCCTCCAAGTACCGCATCCCCTCAGCGTAGGTCTGCGGCATGACCTTCCGCACAATCTGCTGGGCAGGAGGGAACTGCGAAGAGCGGCAACCTGCAGATAGCACAGACCGGTTGTGACCAAGCCATCAAAAATCACCTCCTTTGTAAAATGCTTTACGTTTCGGTGGTCACCTGTTCGATGAATTCCTTCATTCATCGTTTTCAGAGTGTCTATATTGTGCGAAACCACACGGAGCGTGGGGGTTCACGACGCGGCGGAAACCTGCCAAAGCTAGATACAACCATCCAGACACAAAAGCTCCTTTTGATTCTACTGAATTGGTAAAAGTCGAGGAAATTTTTTCCAGTTCTTTGAGAATCAAGGTACCAGGCGCGGTCTCGCATCAAGGCGCTTACTTGCACCTGTTGGTGACTCTGCAGACGCCGCGGCAAACGGTCCAAGCGCGCCGGAGCCCATTTTCCGGTCGACCATGCGGAACGCGAAGTGGAAGTTGGTGGTAGTGTGAAGCCGCTCCGCCCCCCCATGCGGGGCCGCGGGGCCGAGCTCGTCGGCTTGGACCAGGACGCGAACCAGGGAGCCCTCCACGTAGATGACCTGGACACGTGACAGGATATCAGACCTTAAGACACTGAGGACGAATCAGAGGGAGTCGGAAGATGGTGAGCAGCAGTAAGAGCGGTGAAAGTGACGTGCGTACTTCACAAGCGGGCGTTCAGATAGCAAGATGCGCAACGGGCTCGTTTCTTCGGTGATCTTATGAGGTCCATTCGAAGTTTGCAGGGGAACGCGATTTCGCTTTGCACTTTCTCAGTTTTCCCGTGCGTCTGTGCAGAGAGAAAGCAAGGTAGGTCGGTTGAGAGGCCAGGGCATCAACGATGGAGGAAGCCTTTGCCATCGGCGTCTGCCGCGTGGAGAGCAAAGTGAATGAACAGCCGTAAGCGAGACGCGCTCCGTGAGGTGGACTAGGATACATAAAGGTATGTTTGCTAGATTCCGGACCGTTGCATGTTTAGTCAAGGCTTTCAAAGCTCTCCGCCCGCTGTTCACCTGCGCTGTGAACTGTATGAGCGACCCGACGGGCACCGGCTTCATGAAGGCCACGTCGTCGACGGAGGTGATGACAGGTGTCAGCCGCGTGTGCAGGCGCGCGCAGATCCAGCCCAGCTCGTACGCCTCGCGCATCACGAAGCCGCCGAACATGAACCCGTTGGCGTTGCGCTGCTGGCTGTGCATCAGATGCACGCTCTGTGGACGCGAAGCGGTTAGCTGTCAGTCGGTCCGCCTTTCCCAGCTAGCGACAGACAGATTGTTCACGGAATAAGCATCCATAAGGTGTCCCTTACTGAGGAAGCAGGAGAACGTGAAGCCGTCAGCATCAATGGTTGCCTTCTGAGACGGAGTTTGAGAACGTCAGCATATGGTTCGTGGTGCGCCGCGGAATGTGCACTAGGAAGTGCACACGGTGGGAAGGATGCGAAAGGTCCGCGTGCTTGTACACCTCACTCC